TATAATACTTAAACCATAGAACATTCCTTCGTCCATTAGTCAGGGAAGTTCAGATCTCTTTGCTAATGGCACGATTATTATTGTTTGTGAAAAAGAAACAAGTGGAATGATTTCTGATGTTTGAAATTAGTTCTGTACAGATAAATTAATATTAAACGAAGGAATAGCCTTTTCAATGAAGTTTTGCATTTCAAAAAGACAATCGCATGTGCCATTCAAAATGAACAATATGCAATTGGCTGATAATAAGGTACCAAAATTTCTGGGTCACAATTCAAACCTCAAATAGTATATACATGTAAATAAATTAAATGCTACATTAAGTTCATTCAGTGGCGATTCGTGGCATTGTTGCGGTTTTGCACAACCATTAATTTTCGGCTAATGTCCCTTGGCACGTTAACATTAAAAGAAAATAATTTTAATTACGTGCGAGTGGTCTGTCATCGAATGAACTTCTTATCTACACCTGTTAACAGACGAAGAGAGGCTCCAGCGAGTGCCCGAGAGCTGACGTCATTAAGAGAATTGGATTTCAGCTACAATAACAGGGAATCCTGGCGTAGGATACGAACCGAACTTTTCTGTGTATTATACCATACTCTTTCTAATGTGTTGCAAATGATTCCCAACACCGACACGTGGAGCAGCACCTTTCAAGCCCTTGCTGAATTTAGGCCACTAAGGTATCTAGAATTAAGAAGATAGATGGCACAGTTGCGTATGCTAATATAAATGGTTGACGAGTTCTGTGTGAGATGTTTTGAGTGTACAGCGACTTACGGTGATTAGAAGTAGACAAACATAATTTATTAGGTAATGGTTTATGGAGCTAATATAGCGAGATTTTGACACATTCTCTACAGGGTTTTCAGGATAAACTTTTTTTCAGGTTTCTAATAAAGAAAAGCTAAGAATAAACGAACTCAGCAGACATTAGCAGATTTAAATATAGTGCAAATGGTAAAGACAGGAAATAGACAATTTAAAAGGGTTAAAAAAGATTTTAGAAATGCAGGGCTCTATGGATGTAGTGTGAAAAATTCTCTGTTTTGCTGCAAGGAAATCACTGGGCCACACGAAAACCGTAGGGCGCTTCTTAAATTTCCACCGAACTTGAACCGAACTTGATTAAAAGGAAAAAATACGCTTTATCTGAAAGTCCGAGCCCTAGGAATGACGTACAGTGAGTGTAAAAAGTATTTGTACACCAGTGCATTTTAAAAATTATTATAATTATTATACAATAATTACCTTATAGCAAAAGATATTTCAATCAGAGTATTCCCCTAAGTGTACCGAAAAGTTAATATCAATACTAGCAGAAAAAACACATGTACAAAGCAGACAGAACTGTTGAAACTTCCTGAAATGTGAAATCTGGGGACCAAAAAGTATTCGCACAGCAAGGATAACTCTAACGGTTTTACCTCCCCTACGCCTGACACGTGGTAAATTTGTGACGCTAAGGTCTTGCATTGTGTCTGATAGATACTCGGAGGCGTCTGTGTGTTTTATGAAAATAATAAATGGGTCGTAAAGGGAAGAATACGTCTTTGCAAGAGAGAAAAAAATCATCAGATTACATAATTAATGCTAATCCCTGCGGGACATTTTTTCATAATTTAAACAGATCAAGAATAGGTTTACTGTAAAGAAAATATTGAAAAACTTGAGAACTTGGACGTCAAAAGAAACTTAGTAGTGCAATTCTACGGAAAGTGAAGAAAAATCCGCGATTCAATGCATCAAAAATAGTTAGTGAACTTGAAAATGAATTACAGATAAATTTGTGTGAGAGTACCGAGCGAAAGTTTTGGAGGCAAAGTGGCTCTCATGAATGTGTAGCTACAAGAAAATATTACGTGAATGAAGTCAATGGAAGCAAAATTTTTTGGTATGAAATGGCGACTGAAATTCGTTTTACAAATTTTAACCAAAGTATCTGCTGATAGATTCTGTAGCTCATCTAGCTAAGAAAAAATATGAACAGTGATCCACAGTAACCCCAAATCTTCTGTATCCGACCCTTGTATTCGTCAAAGAAAAGTCCATAGAATCAAGCTGAAATTAATATTCTGGTGCCTCGTGAGATTGCAACGGAGGATGTTGTTTGGACTTCATTAATTTCATACAGACTTCCCGACCTTGTATGTACTAAGTAATCAGGGTAGAATTTTCTGGCCAAAAAATGTGTATCCTTTGCCAGTTTAAGAGTTACTTCTATTCCAGAATGAGCGATGTGTAATTTCTCCAAAACCTTCTGTCGTAATGAGAGAGGAATTAATATCCTGTCATTCGTGACAATGATATCTTTGCGTGTCATCAGTTCATTCTTGTATTTATAAAATAGTTTAAATGAATCTTCCACTTCAGAATAATATCTCAGAAAATCATTTTGGATATAATATACTAGTTTTCGCATTGTTAAATCATTTTTCGAGGAACATCTAATTTCTTCAACTCTCTCAGGTAATATCTGCAACAATTCCTCTAAATCTATCTCACCTAAGTTTTGAAAGATTGGTGAATTCCTTTTTAGTTCAAAAATACTTTTATACCCCACATCTATGTTTCATAATCATTTCCAACATATGCCCTTTATAAAGCATCCGCAACCACATTCTCTTTTCCTTTCACAAATTGTACTTCCAGGTGGTATCTTTGTAACGCCATCAACATTAGTCGTAGTATTTTAGAAGCGTTCGATAAGGGTTCCTTGGAAATTGAAGTCAAGGGCTTGTGGCCAGTTTTTATTATAATTTGTTTATTACCAGCCAATAGTGGTCTTGTGCATCCAAAAAATGTAGTCAAAAGCTACTTTTCAATCTGAGCATAACTTTTTCTGTTTTTGTGAGCGCCCTAGGAAATATCCAACCACTTTATCCATCTGATTAACAGCGACCCCAAAGCCTGAAGAGATAGCATCACATTCTAGTCACTGGTTGGTTAACATCAAAATGATATTTGCTACCATTATTCTCAATCCTCTTTAAAGTATTTTCTTCCTTGCTGATCCAATACCAGTCTATATCGTCCCTTGTAAGTTTGAAGATGCGAGTTCCTCGGTCATATTCTCAATACACCGACTCAAGTATGTCACCATATCTAAAAACCGAAGCTCTGTCTTGTTCTTTTGGGAAGGCATTTTTGTAACCGAATTTGTTTTATCTGTGTCAGGTGGTAAATCTTCACTTGTCAAAATGTGACCAAACAATTTTACAGAGGTTTGGTACAGCTTGGTTTTATCTTTGTTGATCTTGCAATGTACTGTTTCTAATCGTATTAGGATGTTCTCCAAATTACACTTATAATCTCTCAACGCCTCATGTAAAGAATCACCACATCCATAAATTAGAATGTCATCAACTAATATTTTAATGCCTTTCAAATCCTGAGTCATTTGTAACATTTTCTGTGCAAACATTTCTGGTGACGATAATATTCCATGAGGAAGCCTCAGCCATCTGTATCTCCCAAATGGGATCCGGAAGCTTGGCTCGAGGACCTTATATATGCCGTACTCTGCGCGAGACTTCGTGCAATTCCCGCCTTTACGCCGGGAAAAGCAGATGTGGGCTGTCGGTGGTTCATCTTCGTATCGCATAGCCAGCGCTTCGCTGTCTCGGCGCAAAAGCGACACTGCTCGCCGCGCTCCCGGAGAACGCCTTGCGGAACTGTTCGTTCTGGCCGCGGCGCTGGCCTGAGCGGGTCTCCGGGACGGCCACAGGGGCCCGCGCCTCCCATGTAGAGCACAGTGTGTTTCATACCCCGTCTCCGTGGGCACAATTACCGTGTATACAGCATATAGACTAAATAACATACATGGAAAGAATATTGTCCTTTTCTCTTAAACCAAATGGAAATATCCACTTTCCCGCAGTAACAAATGTACCTCCCGGTAGAGAGCTGCTAACTGTCTAGGTCGGCTGTCGGCTGCGGTCTTATTCCAAGGGAAGGTCCGTCTTACAAGTGCCGTAGATTAAAGGAAGTTCACCTCGCAGAAGGAAGCCATGCGATAGTGGCAATAGTTGTGTAACGTATTAGCCAGCGTGCCTCGTGGCATCTATTTGGGGACGCGTGGTAAGGGATTAGTAAGAGGAAACTCCTTGTAAAAGGAGGGAGAAAAGGGCCTTTCCTTAAAGCAAGAAGCGGAAACTGGAGACACGAGGCTTTGGGGTCCTCCGGTCTTAAGAAACGGAGACCCAAACCCTCATGGCCAGCAATAGGGTCCAGCGTGGGCGGCGTGATGTAATAGATCACGTGAGCCTCGACTATATAAGGGAGTGCACAGAGACAGTGAGTGGGCTCTGGAGACAGTGGGAGAACCTCGTCAAGTTGCAAAAAAACTTGGCGCCACCACGATGCTGCGGCGGGCAGGACTCGCGAGTCAAGTCACGTGTTGACGAGCCTGTGGAGGACTTTGTGTCCTTGAGTGACAGCGGTCACGTGAGAGCGATGCTGTGTGCGTGCTCCGAGGTGAGGAGTGGTTGAGTGCCACGACTCGCGCCGATTATCAATCAGGTAAGATCGCTCCTGCGATCAAGGCAAACCATCAATTGGTACGCCAGTACGAACTTTGTGTCCCAGTGTGACACCCGGTCACGGAAGCTTGGCTTTGTGCGCGCTTCAGAAGTAGGAGTGACGAATGCCACAATTGAAACTCGGGTTTGGATCGGTCCCGCGATCAGGGGATAGTAGGTCTATGAGAGCTAGGGTATAAATTGCAAATTCATTGTAAATACTTGTTGTGTTTTCTTTGTAAATAAATATTTGTTATATGAAAGCTCTGTGTGTGTGTTCAATGTGAGTATACAGGATGTCACAGTTGATGTGAAGACGCGTTAAAATTACTTCCCCGCGCCTAGCAGCCCAGGACGAGTAACATCATGGCTTTATAGAATCCTTGAGAGCCCTTAACTGAAAAGTGGCATTGTGCCACTCTGTTTGCATTGTACTGAGTATAGGGCGCCTTTAAATCTGCAGTAGGAATGCCAGTATTAGACATCCTAGTCGCTGATTTCGCAGCCTGGTCAGCTTTATGCCTGTCCATATAAATTCAGTGTATAAATATATGATATGGGCATTCTACTCTCATATCATGAAAATGAATATGGTATACAAGGGGACAAGTAGTATTTTGGGAAAGCTGGTAATTCTGGGATCAATATTTGGGCGAAGGAGTTTCGACGGTGGAAAGAGGTTGTTTGGGGGGTTTCTCGTGGGAAGGAAAGGGTATTAAGGTTCCGTAACAGATTTGGACATTTAGCACCTGGCGTCTGGGAGAGTAATGTTATGAAAACGTGAGTTCTGATATTGAAGATTGAAGTTAGTTCGACTGGATGGGTGGCTCAAATTACCTAAAACGTTAGGAGCATAATACTCTAACAGGATTTATCATCTTCGTTTTATGGATAACCGACCGACGGCAGTTAGACAGTCAATTCTGCTAGTAATTAACGTTTCTGTGGAAATACGGATACCTGTGTTGTGGATACTGTAAAGGGGTCTCAGAATAGGAAAAGCTCTTGCTCTTCATGCTATACTGTTGTTATCCAGAACTGAACGGATAAGTGCTCTTTATTATCATGCAAATGCAATAGTTTGCCCATGATTTACCACTCAGCATACGTAGGATATTTAAGGGGGAGACATATCAGGTTTGATGACTACTGCATCATCCACAAACAGCGATATCTTTGCAGGTTCTCACACAGCCGACGATATACTGTTTATGGAAATGGAAGAGGGACCCTCGGCAACGACCCTTGAGGAATGCCACTTTCAAGATGTCTGCTAGGCAGCTCGCTACCAACGGAACGTCATCATAGAAGAGTATGTTCTAAATAACGTTTCGAACGAGTGGGAAGATCTTTCCCCTAAATCTACAAGAGGGCAGGGTTCGCAGAATGTACGCACTCGTACATCCAACTAGTTGGTTACCGTACCTCCAAGTGAGGTATTTTTTTATGAAAGCTAGTATGAGCAAGAATATATCTGATGTCATCACAACGAGAAGGTCCCGAATTGAACGGTGTCTACTGAACTTGCGTTGGATTGAAGTAGGCAGACGTCTGCACTGCAAGGTCAAACGCTGATTTACCATGCGTTCCAGCAACTTGCGTACGAAGATGGTAAGAGATGTAGCAAGTGGGCAGTTCGAGGTTTTCCTTCTTTTAGAGCTCGGTCGACGATGACTTCTAGCCAAAGAGCAGGGATAGTATGATTTCTCCAGACACGATTATAAAGCCGAAAGAGAAAATCCATGGCAATTTCAGGACGATGAAGCACTTGGTTGAGAATTTCTTAAGGACGTGGGGTTGTACATTCTTTTAAAGAGCATGTCAGTCTTGTAGAATGTAGTGTTTTAATCCTCAGCCACTGTGCTTGAAAAATCTATGGTTCCCCATTGTTTCTTGAACGAAAAGAAACTTTGGAACAAAGTTTGCCCAACTCGATATTTGTTCTTACTGCTCGGCGAATTCCTCTGCAAGGCGTCCTCTACAATTAATATCTCCATTCTTAAGCAAACTGGTTGGTGAAGCCTATTGTGTTTGGTGATGAATGTCTATTATTTGGCGCATTCCTCCATACCAGATATGGTGGTTTATGGCTAGGTCTAGGATAGTTGTGTTGTGTACAACTTTTTCAATTACATTTAAATAAATGCATTTTGTAATATGTCGACCGAACAATGTTTCTCCGGTGAGAAATGCAATTTTATAGTGCATCTTTTTAAATACTTTGGGAGTCTTTATAATTGCATAATATTTAGGGCATATCCTTAGAATAATACATATTTTGCAATTTTTACAAAAAATACTAAAAAATACAATTATTAATTACTTTATTAATGTAGTTCCAACTTTTCACTAGTAATAACATAAAAAATTATTAGTAATAAACAATAGTTACTTTTGGTAATTTTTACTGATACTTTTTGTAAGATATTGCAATGTCGGTCTCGAAATTTTCCCAGGATGAAAAGACTCCATACAGACTGATCGGAAAAAGCATGATGGCGTGGAAAACTGTGTTCCTCGCCAAGTTGTCGCTCGCCACGGTGGGCAAACAGTAGGGGCGGACAGAATGAGGGTACACTATTTTAAAAAGTTTGTGAATGAATCTTTTGAATGTGGACGTGGAGTGTTCGGTGTTCAGTCTCGATAGTATACATGTCTGTCTTGATAAGTATACGACGAATCTTGTTTCGTAGGTAGTATTGTGGTCAAACAAAAGCGCTCGTTTTTTTGCAGAAAGTCACCATTTCTGCTCAACTCTGTTTGCACGTGAGTGAAAATGTACTACTGATGGGATCGTGTTATTTTGTGTTGATAATTTGATCACCATTTGTGGTGATAATTTCATCATTTTTATGAAGTTTTTTATAGTATATATTTTCATCACATACATACCTTGTTAATGTATCTAATAGCTGTTTTAAATCTCATAATTACATACATATTTTACTTTTAATGCATACGCATCCGAGCTCTATTCATGGCAATTGACGGACACGTACGCTCTCAACATTTACTTTTTGCTTTCTAAAATGGTTATTCTCACCCTACCTGTACACGTTTTGAATTCAATTAGATTTTCCACGTTTGATTTATTAGAGATTCCGGGTGTGTCAACTGGTAGGGCTATTGGTCATGCAAGCGTAATACTTATTCCCCCGAGAGGTGGCGGTGATATTCCCGTATGGAGGGTGAGATCCGGCGCCGACCTACCTGTGGGCTAGAAGTTTTGCCGAACCAAGTATCTCCCACCAGCGGGGCACTATCCCAGTCGGGACAAACTCTAAGCTCCCGACCGGTTTCCCGGCATGTAGGGTAGGGTAGTGCAAATGTAAATGTAAGCTAGGTGTGGGGACAGGATAAAGAAGAGGAAGGAAAGATCACGGGCGGTCAGTGGCTCGTTTGTTAGGGTTCGGGTATTGCTTGGAGAAACCACGACAATCCGATCAGAGCAGTCGTCCGCTAGAATTCCCCTCCAGAATTCGACCTAGCTCTCGATCTAGTATCAAAAATCCTGCCATCGTTGAGATTCGAACCTAAAACCTCACTATCAGAGGAACTGCAGTGAGATCAGTCCATACCCTAGACACCTCTCCAGGTTTTCCATGGTTGGATAAAGCTTGAGCCATTCCAGCTTTTATGGGCGCTGTCCGCCATTGAACAGTTTAATAACTAGAACGGAACAAAGAGATGTGTGTTGCAGGTGGACTTTGGAATTGCACTGAACTCAGCTAGACGTTCATTGCACAGCAGTCATTCCGTCCACATCGTTGAAGTGGACGGATCATATGAAAGGGCGATATAGCTTGAAACCTCGACAAGTCAGGCATTCCATGATGTATTGAGGAATGATGTGGGCTGTTTTTACGTGGAATGTACTGGGTCATCTGGTCCAACTGAACCGATCATTGACTGGAAATGGTTATGTTCAGTTACTTCAATATCATCGACCGCCATTCAGGAACGTCATGTTCCCAAACAAAGATGGAATTTTTACGGAGGACAATGCGCCATGTCTCGGTACCAGAAGTGTTAGCGATTGGTTTGAAGACCATTCTGAACAATTGGAGCAAATTATTTGGCCACACAGATCGCCCGACATGAAACCCTTCGAATATTTATGGGACGTAATCAAGAGGGGAGTATGTGCCCAAAAATCTGCACCGCTTTCGCAGTTATAGACGTTTTTAGAGGCAGCATGGCTCAATATATCTGCAGGGGTCTTCAAACGACTTATTGAGGCCATGCCTCGTCAAGTTGCTACACTTCGCCGGGCAAAATCAGGTCCAACACGGCAATAGGAAGTGCGTATCATTGTTAAAATATTTTATTCTCCTTTTTGATGGTAAATATAGTCTCTAATTGCATGGAAACGCGTGTGCAGAATTTTTTGCGTCTACATTGACGCAACGAGTCTTCAGGCCCCTTGTGGGCGTTGAGCGCTTTTGAACTTGGATTAATCCTCCATTAACATTATGTGTCTTCGTCACGTTTCATCGCAGTCGGTTGTCAAGAGGACCGCCACGTAGCATCTCCAACTACGCGCTCTTGTGTCACTATTCAGCGGTCAGAATTGGGAAGAAAATTAGAACACTTCACATGGGTTGGACTAGCCCTTGTAGAGCAACCAAACACGTTCTGTTAGAACGCATTTCACATGACATTGTCCGGGAACCGAACTCGGACCTCCTTGGTGAAAGGCGATCGACTTCGCTCTGAGCAACCAAACCAGTACATAAGATTTTACTCGGCACTCAAACTTGTGTATGTATTCTAAATATTTAATGTCGCCTGACAATGTTGTAATGTAACGTTCAAGTATTATATGTGGATTACATATAGTGAGCTGTTACTGAGCTGTCGTAACTGTCAACTAATGAGTTTGATTGCTACGGCATTTGTTGTAATTGTGAATATGGGCATGAAAGTATGTGCCCATTCAAAAGCCAAAGCGAACGCCTAATAAGTGCTTTATAAAGCGAGAGGCAACTTACCGTTGACAGTTTGCTGCGCTTCTGAAACAAGCTTCGCAATCTGCATCTGGTCTGCACTCTTCTGCACGTTTTCTGTGGGCAAATTAAAAGTACGTTGGCTATCTAATGTGACTCCAAGATATTTTACATTTTTCGCCGAATTAATCGCGTCACCACATAGCGCAAGCGCCTACTGTTGTGTGAATCGCTGTTGTTGTGTGAAGAGTACCATTGCATTCTTACTCACATTGACTTTAACCCGCCTCAGCTTCAGACACTCCTGGATCTGTAATAAATGCTGATCCAAATACTTCTGGAGAAGCTCGATCTTTTTCGACGTGGCTATTTCAACAGTATCGTTGGCTATACAGCGAGTTACGTTTGCGAGGACACGCGCATCGACGGGAGTCCTGAGCTTCCTCGTCTAGCTGAGACTGAGATTCCAGAACATTCGCAAGGAGTTCCGCTTTCGCCTCGTTCGATTCGCCGTACTCTTCTTTGTTGTACTGAAGCGACGGCACTGGAATTGGATTCCTGGAAAGCATGCAAGAGATTTTCCAAAGTGAGTTTTCTTCAGGTTTGAGACTTGATAACAATTTTTCTCGTTAATCATCTGGGCGTCGCGTGCTCTGCCACACTCTGCGCGCTCTGTTCTTCCTGGAAGTTAAATTGAATAAACAAAGTGGTTGCTTCTATTTTGAGAGAGACTGTCCGTCACAGCTTCGGCGAATTTTACAGCTCTGCTGCGGTCCTGACAGAACAGACGCGTCAGGGATACGCTGCTCCGTCTGATTTTTTCCATTCGGTGCGCCGCTTCTGCGTCGTAGGTGCAAGCCACCACGTCGCATATCCTCACAAAACCGCCCAACACAGTACGGATGTTGTTCTTCCGCAGTTATTTTCCCACACGATCGGTGACAGCGGACGTAGGGAAGCACGGCTAATCTGAATCAAACACTCTCCTCCGTCTCCGAAGAAACGTGGCGATCTTCGGCGTTGCCGCGGCCTTCAGAGCCACCGCGTTCTACCTAAATTCTACCTTCTTCCAGTATCAAGACCGATTCGACGCCCAAGTGTGTTCACAGCACGCGACAAGCTACACAACGCCTTGGTACGCATTAAAGATTCGTTACTCCCTCTCCAGTCGGCAGGCGTATATGAAGTTCCCTGCAGCTGCGGCAGGACGTACATTGGCGAGACCGGGCGCACTGTGTCCGAGAAACTCAAATAACACATCGCCCATTACAACAGGAACAATACCAACCGTTCGGCTATTGCGCACCACTCGGAGATTACGGGACATGCTATTGACTTTGACAAGACCCGGCTCCTGCACAAGGAAAATCGGTACTGGCCGTGACGTATAAAAGAGGTACTAGAAATAAACAGACAGCCTCAAAACATCAACGCGGACGCAGACCTCACCCTTAACCACGCCTGGAAATCTCTCTTAACATCCATTCGGGACCGTTAGGGGACGTTCAACGCCGTCCGTCTACGGGGACGTCTGGCGCGGGGCCCAGGTTGGCCCAGACCGCCAGCCAATCAAAGAGACTTCTCCGCCAATCACGGAGTACTGGCCCTCCCGAGCGACCAGGCAGGATAATATATAACACCGGGTGGGCAGCGCAGTGTCATTCACTCACCCGCGCCGTTGCCGTCGCCGCTGCCGTTGCCGTAGCCGCTGCCGCGGTTGGTTCCTGGTCCCGCGAAAGGAGACGCCCTGGTCGCAGCCGACACCTGATCCACCGGACGGTTTATCTATGTGAGTCCACAAACTTCCAGTTCTTTCAAAAGAAAGCTAAGCAAAAAATACAGCTGTTGTCCGGACTACCTTCTGTAATGGACAATGGCGGTAATAACAAGGCAAGCGAAACCCTTACCCTGGCCTACCGTCTCACCAACTACCGGCAAAGGCAAAAAGCGCCGTCTCTCGGGCGAAGAGCCGAACGCCGCAGACGGAAAGGTACCTCCCACCCAGGAACCGCCCACAAGCTCTCTCGCGCTGCCCTCTGTCGGTGAGATCGAGATGCAGGTGGACAGCGCAGCCGGGGGTTGCGACGAGCACGGCGCGTCGGAAATCCCGATAGCCAGCAATGGCGACTCGGGTGCCCACGGGGGGGGGGCGATCGCCGCCCCAGGCTGTGTCACCACAGCCACCCTTGCCTCCACGCGTAAATGCGCAGGGCCCTCCTCCCTCCACCTCTGAACCCAAGAAGGCATCGAAGCGCGTCCCACCCGTCATGGTGGCGACCGAGGCAGTGCCCTCCGAAACCGGCTTCGCCGGGTGGTTCAAGGAAATCACGCGCGATTGTGAATTCCCGGTCACGGGAAAGCACTGTGGGGAGTTTTTCTACCTGCAAGCGAGGAACGCGGAAGAGCACGACAAAATCTCCGCGAACTTCACGTAAAAGTCACGCAAGCTGGGCCACTTCACCCACGCCCGAAAGGATCAGAGGGGACTCAAACTCTATGTGAGAGGCCCCGCCCCAAGTAACGGCGGAAGAAGTGGCGGGCGTCTTAGCCCGACCGGGGAAACCTCGGCCCGCTGTCCACCAGCTTAAAGGCGCCGGAACGGAATTCTCATTCCATTAGGCGCCTACTTTGCCAACCTCCCCCGGGTGACGACGGCAAGTGGGTCTTTGCACGGAGAGTAATATGCAACTGCGCTGCGCACGTTGAAATTGCCAGGCAGACCTATAGCGGTCCGTTCTGCAAACGATGCTGCAGATTGTCGCATACCCGGACCTATTGTCAGGTCAAACCGCGGTGCATGCACTGCGGCGAAGGCCATTTGACAGAGTCCTGCGGGAAACGCAGTTCACCAGCGTTTTGCTGTAACTGCCAGGGAAACCACTTTACAAACTACGGCGGCTGCAAGGCGAGGAAAACTGCAGCGAAAACACAAAACACACAAAACAACAACAAAAACACCAAGTCGAGGCTATCTGCATGCAAAGTTGACAAAAACGTCACCTCTCAGCAGTGGCTAAGGCAAACCACCCTGCACCGGCAAGGCGAGCGGAACGGGAAGAAGCCATCTCTACAGCCCGAAAGGGAATGAAGGACAGAGCGAACCGTGCGCACGGCGCGCCCCAAGCCACTCAGACAACACCAGTAACGCCTGTTACTTCCTCTGAAGCGGAACTCCGAAAGGAGGTCGCTGAACAAAAGCAACAGGTCGCTTAACTCACCACACTCCTCCAGATCCTCTGTCAACAAGTGTTCAACCAAAATGGCTGAGCAACTAAATCAGAGAAACACAAACACCCGCTCCCTAGCTGTGACCGCCTGGAACATTAATGGACACTCCGGTCACACTGAAAACGTTTAATGGAGCTTTTCTGCAACAAACACCGCATCAACGTTCTGCTACTGCAGGAAACTAAATTCAAAAGCTCAGATCATATGGAGCTGCGCGACATGACAATATACCGCGTGGTAGTCATCGTGGAGGCGATTGCCATACGCCGATTAGCGATCCTCCCCCGTCTGGCGCGCCTCGAAGCTGTAGCAATCGTGGTGAACTCAACGGAGGGCGAAGTAGCTCTAGTATCTGCATACCTCGCGCCAAACAGACCTCCAATAGAGGAAGACTTCGACACAGTGCTCTCTCTAGCACCTCGCACGGTCCTGGCGGGCAACCTGAACGCCAAGTGCGAAGAATGGGGATGCAACACCACTAACAGGAACGGAACCTTACTTGTAAGCTTTCTGTTATCACACCACCCAGTGAATCCCGTCCCACCTTTTACCCCTACCCGTTTTCCAACAAATGTAACCAAAGCGTTTCACGCCGCCCAAGCAAATCAAAATCGGAACGCAAAATCTCAAATGGGCGCCTAAGGCAACTTACCTGGGTGTCACTTCCGACCGAAGCATGCGCTGGCACTTACATGTAAGGCGAATCCTTTCGAAACTTGATCTAAAGGCTCCGTATTCTAAAACCTCTCCTCAAGGAACCTTCTCTACCCTTGGATCTCCGCCTGGCACTCTATAAAACGTGCTGACGGACTGTGGCCACCTACGTTGCGGCGACGTGGTGGAGCACAGCACAGAAATACAAAGACTCACTTGAGATAATTCAGAATAGAGTTCTGAGACTCATAGCTCGCCCTCCATTTCGGAAACGACTGAAAGTACTGAGAAAGGAACTTGATATCGAGTCCTTCACTCAATGCTTAAGACGGCTATCATTCAATGAAGCCTACCAAGCCTTTCAATCAGACGAAGCTCCGGCTACGCTAAAAAAATCTTCAGACACATGTCCTTACCATTGCTCATAGACGACAAGCTCTACCTTCAGACATACTAGTGGCATAGAGCGAAACACAATCGAAAATGAAATAGTCACAAACATGACTAAACAAATCGCCTAACTGGCAAACGACTAAGGTCCGTCGCGAACACACAATTTACACCTAGGAGTAAAACGCAAAAGGCGTGTGCACTGCAATTTCGATCAAGTATCCTCTGATCAATACGTTCATGCGATCGAATCACCACGCCGACCTTTGGCTACGCCGAAAAAAAGCCTCAGTGTCACTGCCCTGAGGAAGCCTGCGACATGTCAGGCGAAACGTCGGCCTCTCAGCCAACGACGCGGTGTCTCCCGGATAGCTGAGAATTTATGGATTCGAGCCGCGGAAGCTTACGTATGCAAGCTCATTGATTGTGAGTGTAGGAAGGTAATGCATTTTGGGACAGCACAAGATCTAGAACATCGGGCTTGCCGGTAGTTTTGCAGAGTTAATATGTAGGTGCAATGGGAGCGTAAATCTCGCAGCCGTTTGCGTCGTGACTGTTTCCAGCTTACGTCCGCGAGGGCAGGTGATGTATGAGCTCCAGGCCGTGTGTTTGCCATTAAAGTCGACAGCCACGAGTGTTGGTGTAATGTTTGCCTCAACGAGTTTTGTGATATCTGCAGTTAGTAGGACGCACGTCTCCGTTGAGCTGTCAGGACGAGCGTAGAGACAAATGAGACGCAGCGACCCGCGTTCCGTCTGAACGACAACAGCAATGGTCTCGGCGTACTGCAGCCGAACGGAAGAACTGAAACACAATGAATTATGCTGCGTCGAATTAATATTGCCGTTCCGCTTCCTCTTTTGGCGTCTGTCAAATTAGCTGCTTATGCTTCTCTGGCGCTTCTGGACCAGGTGTAACCTGGACTATTAAAGGAAAGATGCGCGTCGAGCCATGTCTCTCCCAGCATCACAACCGAAAATTATGCCGGGGAGAAAAGTGTGAATTTCTGACTGCTTCGCTTGTGTGCAGTTGCCGGAAACCGCAACGCCGACGACAGCATGTCGGCCGCCCGCCCGCACGTCGTTGACGATCCCGCTGCCGCTGAGCAGGATTGCCACTGAGCAACGGCGCTCGTACTCGGCGCATCCCTTATACGTCCCGCTGTGGTTTGCGCCGAGGCAGTTGGAGCAGCGGAGCTCTGCCACTTTGGGGTTTAACCTCGGCAAGCACTGCGCTGCGTCGTTGGCTCCCCCACATTGCCTGCAGCGCGTGCAGTTCCGTGCCCGAAATCCAGGCAGTTGTGGCCCTGCGTGAGGCCGCACGGTGGCGAATACCCCTCCACGCGAACGCGGAGCCCTTGAATGACCAGGGGCTGCACCCGGCCCGTGGTCGCGGCCGCTGGCTGCTCACCCGCTCAAGCTTCTTAACCGGGAAATTAAAATGCTCCAGGTTAGCATGCAGTGCCTGCAGCGAAAGTTCTAGCGGTATCCCCGAAGGACAATGCGAAGAACTTACGCGTTTCCCATTTAGTATATGTGTTAGTCTTCGGATTTCTGCTCGAGCGCAGAGCATCTCGGTGCACCTCGAGGGTCTCACACCGTATCCGGGCACCGTCACCGGCCGGTTTCTCTCCCCTAGATGGGGTAGATACGGCGTCACGGGAGACGACTTAGGCGTCGACATCCTTGATCTTTCTAGCTATAAAAAGGTAGAAGCCCTAAAAAGGGTTGTTTGTATATAAACGCCCTAGAAGTGCAAAAGCAGACTCTTTTCATAGTCTTTAGAACAGATTTCGTACGGTGGCCGAAGGTCCCTCGGTGGACGGAGCACTCCTGAGGTGCGTCCGCTCTCCTCGGCTGGCGGTGGACATGTGTGTATGACTGGGAGTGTGTATTGCGAAAGTTATAACGGTAAGGGTACCCAATATTCAGAATGATGTCACACGTTCAGTGAGAAGGCGGTGCAAGCTCTGCAGTGCGCGTAACCGTTTCCTAGAGAAATAGTTTTTACTGTATTATGCGGCTGCCGAGTTTTGGGTTCCTTGTCACTAGGGCTAGGATTTTGATGATTTACATCTTTTTTCATTCTTGAGGAACACTTCTTCTTGGGGTACTAACATATTTCACAGTGTTATAAGACGCTTTATAAGTATTCGTTACAGAATTTTTTGGTGAAAAGGCATTTTTTGCATTTGTTAGTTTTGAGGTAATTACACACACTACTGACATGTTTGACTCTAAATAGGAAAATGCTTCTTTCTTTACCAAACTCACATTGCAATTCAATATTCAAGGCTTTTTAATATGATTGTAAATTGTAAGCAAATAATAAATTGTAATCAATATTAATGAAATATCTATTTACCAAATAAGCATAATATTAACTTTTTACACGGGTTTTGCAGTATTCAATTAACTCAAATATTTCAACATGGCAAATTATTGGATGAACCAAAGAAAGAAATATTTTACAATGTAAAAAGACACTTTCAAGACACCTTTTGGACAGAAATCCGTAGACTATCACACATACTAAATGGGAAACGCGTAAGTTCTTCGCATCGGGCAGTATTTTAGGACATAAATGTGTAGTTTTTAGGTCAGCAAATTCCTAGCTCGACTTATCGCATTTGTTATTAAAATATTGGCTTTTTTCGGTTTGTTTAGGTTTGGAATGCACATCTCGTTAACAAATTAGACTTAGAGAAGCACTATTCCACCACACATACATCAAGTTACCACCTTTTAATTCCTCGCCCTTATTTATAGATCGAGAGTCAGCAAGAAAATCCACGTATGATAAGCTCAAAGCTAAAACGTTTTGAGAAGCTGGCCAGTGTTATGAGGAACAGAGAAACGCAAGTATAGCTGTCTGTAGGTGTCGGCATTGCGCTGCGAAATTTTTTAAACATGTAGAAAAAAATATGCACTTGGGGAATGAGTACACAGTTTATTCTTCTTCTTAATTGTTCGTTAGATAGCGAAAGTGGGAAGGAGTTGTATGCCTTACCATAGCACCGTCTCGAATTGTCCGACAAAGCGAGACCAGACGTTAGGCACAACGTTGCCTGAAGACCAATAAGTGTTGAGAAACATTTTGAAAGTGGCATAAACTGACAATTTTTAATGGTGACGAAAGTGGAATGGAAATGGCATAAAATGCCACAATGAAGCTGTAATTGAAAAATAAGATGCAATAATTAAAAAAGGTGCGTTTCTGTTTCAATGACTTGTGTGATAATTTTGGCATTTAAAATTCTCGTTAATATAGTGAGGCAATCTGGTGCCTGAAGCTCATTGGCTGAAGTTGGATGCGCAAGGGCTTACTTTCGAATGCGTTTGCTGAAAAAGCGTTGTAACCCTATGTGATTTCGAATTCATATGTCATGATTGAATCTGTAATGAATTATTAGTAAAAACGGTTTTTCCTATCACATTTTGGCGCAAATTTCAAATTTTTAAACTGAGAAAATTGGTTTTAATTGTTTTTCACTACCGTCCACATATATTCTAGAAAAATTGAGACACTACTCTAACATTACCATTTCGAAAATGAATTTCAAAAATTTATTTATTTTTCTATTTGAATTTGGCGTCAAAATTGATACACAAAAATACCTTCAAATGAAACTGTTTCCCCCGTTCTGAATTTTTTTCAGTCTGATACATGCAATAGAAGCTGAGAAAAAAATCAAACTCGTAAAACACGGATCTCGTATCTCTGCAACATATTGCCCTAGGAGGCTGATTTTTTTTTGCAAATCAACGATTATAATCTCATTTTATCATAAAAGAGATTATAAACATTTTATTATCTCTTTTATATTAGTATCGCGATTATCGATTTGGTTTGATGGTAATTTTCACTGCCTTATGTGGCTATACCCTTTTACGTAAAAATAAATATACTTTTTTAGTAGATTGTTTGAATTTTTTCAAATTAATACTTTTTCTATATAATTTTTACTTACCAGCAACAGAGGTAATCATTTCTATATCCGTTTTTAAACTTTTAGGGTTTTCATTAGAATTTTTCAAGGTAAAGACCGATTTACTCGCAGGCTGCCGCGTGCTTCTCTTTCGCGCTTAACTGAAAGATTCATCAGTTTTTCTTTCATTTCCTCGTTTATCTCGGAATCCTTGAACAATAAACCGATCCATTCTCGGTTTTTGGATACAAAGGGACACAGCCAGCTCGCCATAAACCGATTGGGCGTTAGACAACGAACGGGTCAACATATTGTACAGGATGAAAAGTGCTCGTCGCGCGAAACGTTTGAATATTAAATGTTTTTGATTGATTTCGAAAATATTTGTTTCCATCTGTGTGATGGTGGTAAAAAGTGGGTAAAGTTGGAATTTTCTAATTTTTGTCAAAATTCCAGGTAGGTAATTACCAACCTTGAATATTTCGCGTAGGTAGTACTACCCACTTCTTCCGCCGGCCCTGAGATACACACAGACACATATACATACAGACAGACAAAGAAACGAGTGATTTCTTCTAAAAGTCTATATCATTAGAAAGTTGGACATTGCATTTTTCATTATGCTTTATCTTATTAATTATATTTGAAATCTACAATAAAATATCATTGAATATATACTACAGCACGTTTTCTAAATATTACGTATTAAGCGTTAATACCTAATTTATGTGAGTGTATATTGAGATGTCTCGACATTCACGTGCGCTGTGGCCATAGACCGTGATGTTCCTCTCGCCCTCCCCCCGTCACATTGACTACGCGCAGCAGCCTGCTGAGCCAAAAGGGGCTGGGATCCATAAAACTCGGGAGACCTGCAACGGCGCGAGGGTGCCGGTCACTCTCAAACTTGCAACAAAGAGTCTTGAGGCCCCCACCTCTGGGACTGCGTCCTCCAAAGCGTAAAGATGTCACTCGACCTTCATCAAATCGGGCCTCACGCACTACACACCCGCGCTGCCGTGGAAACTCAGATTATCTTTGTCTCGCAAATGCCCCCCTGCTAATCCTTTGGAACTCGCTATAATTCTTAACACACAGCACCGATTCCCAATACCCGATTCCCGGCCACCCATTGTCAACAGTAGCTAAACAATGAAAACCTATTAGAGCGATCAGAGGATGTAGGACATCAAAATGGAGACTGATCTGACCAATATGAACAACAACACTGTAGAACGTCCTAGTCGTAGCGAAGGAAACTAATAGCGACATAGGGCGACACGCACATGATCACAGGTTAATCATACAGAGGAATCGTAGAATAGGGTAGTGAGCGGAGAAGCAATGACGTTTTGATTTTCATCGAGCAAATATCCATTTTTTACTCGAGATCAGTGGCTTTTTAAAATCTCAACTTGAAAGTTACAAAGCTCCACCGGATGCCGTCCTCCCTGGAACTGGTGCATTACATGAAAACGTCATACGTCACGGAATTTCTTTCGTTCAGCGGACCAAAGCCAAAATTTCCGAAAAGCACTTGCCACGGTGAGCAACCTGCCGCGACGTGCATTCCGACGGCGGAAGGTTTATTTCCAAAGCGGAATTGGAGAGAAAACGAAATAATTTCTCCAATATTACGAGAATATCCGTAATAAAAAGTTTTCAATGATTTTTTCAATGTCTGTTTCTCTCTAATTTTTATTTCTTGAATTACCTGAGCAAATGGTAGTGATAACCTTAGATTATTCGATTGCTTGACAACATGATCAGTAGTTTGGTTCTCTCCAACATTGAATTAAGCTTTATATTTAACTTGACAAAAATCGTTATCATTGGCTCCTACGGCTCCTTATTATCCTTCATATCGCAATATATATTTTTCTGTTATTCCCCTATTCTATGTTCGCCCTGTTAATTAAACTGCATAATCAATTTTTAATGTTTTAATAGTTTTGAATGAAATTTTACAACTATATTTGCAATTGCAATGTGCCATATAATTTCCAGCGGTGCGATAGTATAATTCATAGGAACTATTTGCTGATTTTCAGTATAATTTTACATTATGTTATGATATTGATTTCGATGCAGATTATTTTGGAAAGTACATATCAAACTAATGCTGATAAAATGATATTACTGCAACATATAATTCTGAGAGCTGTATTATTGAGATCTTCAATAATAAAATTATAACAATGTTGGAAATAAAATCTTCAAAAGAGATTTGCAAGTGGCATAGTTTTCTGTAATCGTTTGTCTTGATGTTGCACTCAAAATGAAAAGATGTTTAAATGTTTTGAAAATAAGACATCAGAACCATTGAAATTGCATTACTATTCTTCAAAAAATTCAAACAATTAGATAAAATATAGTGCTGAAGAGAAAGGGGGTTTCTATTAAAATACTAAAACTACCAAAGGTTGAATATATCATTCCCCTTACACTTTCAATAAAATTTAATTATTAATTACAAATGCAATTATTAAATTTGCTCATGGGCGGATTTAGATACTCAAGGTCTTCAAGCACAAAACTATACTGGGCACTTCTTATGAAAAATCTTTAAAACTAAAAAACTAATTATGAATAAATCTAAAAAACACTATTTAGGATAGAATAAATCATTGTTCCAATACAGATGTAAATTAACAATTGCTTACAAAATAGAAATTGCTTTTTAATATTCCCATTTACAAATTTCATGTTTGGTTTCTTATTGTTCCATTCAATTTATTTTTAAAATCAAATATTGTTGTTCAGTAAACCATTTGATTAAT